CCATTTACCATTTTACTATACAGGCCCACCTGTGCAGCAAACAAGACTGGTCACCCAGAGTCACTGTGTGAGGCTTCACTGGTACCTTCATGTATTGGTCTTGAATGATTTTGATTTTCTCCTCTGTTTCGATGTCAAAATTTGGATCCAGGCCTTCCTTCTTCACATCTTGGTCTTGGTCGATCTCCTCAGACAGATACGTCTGCAAAATGTTTTTAAGTTCACCATTTTCCTGAAAAAAAGCACAAAGAGTCAAAAGGATTGATGCAACAAGAATCATTTGTAAAAAAGAAAATAAACTGCAACAAACACCTGAGATAAAAAAATAACAAAGAAGATCAAAACCTATAACAGCAGCAAGAGATTTAGACAATATTACTCCAAATTAAAAGACAGATGTTTAATTCATTTTTTAAAAAATGCTGTTTTGATATTAAAGAGGTTTCACAGATAGACAACGGGCCTCATCCATCATTAAACTCCAGAGCTGAAAAATGAAACGCCCGCCTGAGTATCAAAAGCTGCAGTTCCTCTAATGGCCACTTGAGGCAGACTCCACGTTTCTGCCTTTAGTCCTTTTCTCTGGAGACCATCTCACACTGCTTCAGTAAGGATGAGATCCAGGCTCTGGTGAGGCCAGTCCACTACTGATACTGACCCACTGGGTGATTTCCTCCCCACCTATGTTGTTCCTGCACTGGCAGCGTGTTTGGGTTGATAATAAATTAATTAAAGCAACAAAACAACCTGAAGAGCCGGTTGGGAGCCGAAGGAGCTGGAATTCCCATCACTAGTACAGAGATCTGTATATATGTGAACATTTACACATTACAAACTGAAGTTCTGAAAGCCAGTCGCACAATCTTATTCAACAGATCGTTGTCTATTACACGTTAAAAAAACTATACCAGGAAGTTCTTAGCCATGATTCAAGCCTGAGCACAATCTGGATGTAAACTGTTTGTGTTACTTGTACTTAAGAAAAAATCAAACTAACAGATGTGAATCATCTGGAATCTCGAGGGACCTGGTCTTCTTTCTGTGTGTAAATGTTTGTAAAAGTCTTTATTTGATATTTAATCTACTAAATTTTCAGTGAGTCAAATGTTGAACTTTCTTAAAGTAGTCGAAGATTGTAAAAACTGTTAGATATCCCCTGTTGTGAAGGAGGTCGAATGTTGTGTGAAATCCAAATCAAATCCAAATGCATTTCACTGACATCTTATTTTGAATTTGATGGCAGCAACACATCTCAAAAATGTGGAAGGGGGGCAACAAAAGTCGGGGAGTGTGAGCAGCAGAGAAAGAAACGGCT